GTGGGTTTGAGTAGCTGGCAAAAGTGAAGCACCCTGGTCAGCGTGTGGTCCCTCCCATCACCATTGTCTCAGCTCCAATCACTCTCTCAGTGGCCTGACAAACGGTCAGAACTGTGTAACATCTCTGTGTGGGGGGTAAGCTCCCCCTGGCTGGTACCAGACTCTCAGACTTTTCCTTCTTCTAGAGATTCCTGAGGAAAATCCAATTCCTTGAGGTTCATTGCTTCCATAGTCCAAATAACCACAAGGAAGGATACCAGTGTCTCTGTAGAACACTTGCATTCCTGCCAAGACAGAAAGGTGATAACTAAACTGTCAGAAGGGTCAGAGGCACATTTGCCTTTGACAGTGAAAACTAGACATTTATCTCTCCCTCAAAGGAAGAGATAAGTTCTCCAGTAACAATGGACAGTGTGCAGGACAGACAGAACTGAGGATGCACAAGCCTGAAGCAGTGGTTTCAAAACTAGGTAAGGGTATGGTTGTCTCACCAGAGCAGGAGAGGGTGCAACAGGCTGAAAACCAAAAACAGGCTAAAAGCTTCACTTCCTCCGCCAGGGTGTTTTGCGATGTGATTTGTAGTATCACTAGTCACGGAAGATGCTTGTCACTTACTAGCCATTGGTAACACATGGGAGGCAGCAAAGTCTATCCAGTAATGAGACTGTGAATGTAACAGTTAATAGAATGCTAGTCTAGCATAATTCTAGGTCCCATCTCCAGCAGTCTGGATAAACTCAGTAGTGCACGCCTGTGTTCCTAGCAGTTGAAATGTGGAAGCAGGAGGATGAAAACTCATGGTTATTCTTGGTTACATACTGAGTTTGGGGCCAGCCTGTGCTGTATGAGATCCTGTTTCAAAAAACAAGAAAGGTGGATGGAGAAGGAGAATGCAAAGGAGTATGTACCAATGAGGCTCCAATCTCTGGAGATAACCCCAGCAATCTGAACAAAGTTCAATACAGAGAATTGTTACCTATGACAGAAAGAGGCCAAACAGGGGCTTGCCTAGCAAGAGACAGAGAGACTCTAAAGCATACACAGATAGATTTAGTGAGCAGCCACTACCCACTATCCCAGCTGAGATAAGAGGAGGAGTGGTATGGCTGACTTCCAGACCTCATTGGAAATAACATGGCCTTGGCTCACTGGCAGCCCAGAACGCAGTGCCTTCCAGCATTCCTTCGGTACTGACTACTGACGGAGCTGAACATCTTATCCAACTTTGTTATTGAACAGGCCTTGGAAGACCAGTGGATTTGAATTAGAGAGGGAAAATTTAGTACTTAGCACTAGGATTTTCTTTTTCTTTTTTTTTCTTTTTTTTTTTTTTGGTGTGTGTGGGGTTGAAACACAGTTTCTCTGTGTAGCCCTGGCTGTCCTTCTGGAACTTGCTTTGTAGACAAGGCTGCCTTTGAACTCACAGAGATCCACCTGCCTCTGCCTCCCAAGTGCTGGGACTAAAGGTGTGTACCATCACCATCCGACTATAGGATTTTCTTAAATATTTGCTTTAATATATTATCCCTCAGTCTTATTTATTCATCTTTTTGTTGTTTTGTTTTTGTTTTTCTGAGACAGAGTTTCTCTGTGTAGCCCTGGCTGTCCTAAAACTTTCTCTGTGGACCTGGCTGGCCTGGAACTCAGAGATCAGCCAGCCTCTGCCTCCTAAGTGCTGAGACTAAAGGTGTGTGCCACCGCCACCTGGTTTATTTATTCATTTTAAAGGTGTGCCATTCAAGGCCGAGCATAGTGGTGCATGCCTTTAGTCTACAAGGTCTACAAAGTGAGTTCCAGGACAGCTAAGGATGTTACACAAAGAAACCCTGTCTCAAACAACAACAACAAAAATTAAAAAAATGTGGCATCCAACAGTCTTTTTCTTCTGTACTTAAATACATCTTAGCCAGAGAAGTCATATTGTCTCACCAGGCTCCACCAAGTCTACAGATGAGAGGAAAATACTTAAGAATCTGAAAGGGGGCTAAGGATGTCTTAACAGCTCAGCTAGTAGAGTGCTTGTCTAGCCTTGGAGTACCAGTGAAGGCCCATTAAAGGAAAACTCCCCGTCAGCCCTGCAGCTTCATCTAAACTAAATTTTAGTTTATAAAACCATGCTACAGTGCTCGCTTCAGCAGCACATATACAAAGATTGGAATGGAATGAAACCGAGAAGATTAACGGGGCCCCTGCCTGAGCACGACGTGCAAATTCGTGAGACGTTCCATATCTTTAAAAGGAAAAAAAAACCCATGTTACATACTATAGGAAAAAGCTACTCACTTATTTGCATCTAGGAGTTGATTGATTTGGTGTAGGAAGTTTTATATGGGTGGGTTAAGCATGCTAAAAACAAGTACACATTCAAATTGAGGAGAATTTAAGTAATTAGAAAGATGGGGTAGAGGTAGCCAAGAAGCAAAACTTCTCTTTTTTGTCTTCTGTCTTTATAAAGGCATCTTTATAAAGTTGGCAGATGGCTCAGCCATGAAGAGCACTGGCTGCTCTTCCAGAGGACCTGGGTGTGTTTCCCAGTACCCACATGGCAGACCACAAGTATCAGTGACTCCAGTCCCATAGGCTCTGGAGCCCTCTTTTAGCTTCCTCTGGCACTGAGCACATGTGATATATGAATATACATTCAGGCAAAACACCCAAACACCAAATAAAAAAATAAAAATAGTCAGGTGGTGGTGGAGCACGCCTTTAATCCCAACACTCAGGAGGCAGGGATAGGTGGATCTCTGTGAGTTCAAAGCCAGCCTGGTCTACAAAGCAAGTTCCAGGACAGCCAAAGCTACACAGAAAAACCCTGCCTCTAAAAATCAAAAGAACAACAACAACAACAAAAAAAAAAACTTTAAAGGAGGATAAGATGGATGTTTTTACATGTTATGCCTGTGTAAGGGTAGTATTGTACAAATCTGAGTCTAGTCAATAAGAAAAACACCAAAAAAAAAAAAAAGCCCTCCAAAAATTAGACCATCTTAACAGGAAAAGCTGATGTATTTGTTTGCTCAAGTGTTACTATACACTGGGATTATAACTCACCTCCGTGTGTGGTGGTGTGAGTGAGAATGTCTCCCAGAGGCTCATGTACTTTTAAAATTTTATTTCTTATTTTATGTGCATTGGTATTTTGCCTGCATGAATGTCTGTGTGAGAGTGTTGGACCTCCTGAAGTTGGAGTTATAGTTGTGAGCCGTGCTAGGAATTGAACCCAGGTCCTCTGGAAGAGCAGCCAGTGCTCTTAACTGCTGAGCCATCTCTCCGGCCCTCTATGCTAACATTTCTCCCCAGTGGCTGGTGCTCTTTGGGGGAGATTTGAGCAGTGAGGCCTTGCTACAGGAAATATGTTGCTGTGGGTGGGTGTTCAGAGGATACAGCTTTGCTCTACTTCTAGTATGTTTTTCTGGTGTCTGCTGTTGAGGATGTAACCTCTCAGCTTCCTGCTCCTCATGCACCAGGGTGGACTCTGACCCCGCTGGACCCCTTAGCCCAAATGAACAACCCCTCCTACACTTTTCACTACAATGTTTATCTCAGCAACAGAAGAGTGGCCAGCTTGCTGCGAAACTGAGGTTGGGGCCCCAGAGACAAGCTTTCTGCCTGCTGGCCACCTCTCAGTAGGTAATGAGATGTTCTGAGGAGTTCAAAATGTTGGCTAACATAGAACCAGCAGGACACCAAGAAAACCTTTCTCCCACCCAGTGCTCTAGTCTCCCTCTCCAGTGCCCCATACTGGCTGAATTAAACCATGGCCAGGTGGAATGACTTGGGAAATGTCATTTACAAAGTCCCTGCCTATTTGGGTTGTGAGATAATTGAAGTGGGAAAGTTGGGCATCATTTACCAACGTTTTCCTTCCTTTTTGCTTTGCCTTTCCATGTCACAGAAGGGAGCATTCGGCTTTGTCACAGTGCAGCTGGAGTTGGCGATGTGACACTTGTGAGGTGCTCAAGACCTTCTTGGTCCTTGGCAAGACTGAAGCCATTGCAGGGACAGTGTAGGTGTGAACCAGCAGGTTGAGAGCAGAGTGTAGCCTATGCGCTCAACTGGGAAGCTGGGAGCAAGCCAGGCTGCCAGCTGAAGTCAGTGAGTGAGGAGCACAGCGTCTCCCGCTGAGCAGGCTGGGAACTGGCTGGTTGGTGAGGGACCATGTTAATCTTTAGACCACTTCCCTGGTACTTTGGGGCACTAGGCACTTACTTTACATGCTGTTTCTGTGATATTCCTAGGTAAATGCCCAAGCATCACTCTATCTCATTCCCTTTCAGGGCCTTTCTTCCCTATACCTCCAACCTGCTTTTTAGTACTTATACAAATTTAATGTATATTTTAAATTTTCTTTTACAACACATTTTTGTGGCCTATTAACACCCGTGCTTATATCAGTACCCTTTAAAAAGGTCTCAGTTTTCAAATGTATTGAATTTTACTGTGTGTGTATATGGTGTGTGTAGGTGTACACATACCATCACGCTCATATGTGGAGCTGATTCTCTCCTTTCACCTTCATGTGTGTTCAGAGGATTGAACTCTGGTCATCAAGCTTGGGCAACAAGTACCTTTATCCACTAAGCCATCTTACTGACCCTAGCTCAGGCTTTCAACAGGTAGGAGAAATGCCTTGTTTACTGGAGTCTTAAGACTGGCAATAGAAATGCCTTCTTCTCTGGAATGTGTTTGTTGCAAAGAACTAGAAAGAAAACATGAAAATTAGTAGCAAGTTCAGGCCAGCTTCATTCTTTCCTCAGCCTACTGGCATTGTGCGGCATTTTCCCGGGCCCTTCAGTGTCGTGATCTTTACTATCTAAGATCACGGTAGAGGTCTATTTTCCAAAGAGTGGTTAGGGGACTAAATGGGTATTTGTAAAGCTGTAGATATTTATTCTAGAAAATAATGCAAGATAAACTGATTATATTAGCTACCTAATCAGTGTAAACATGTTAACTGTTTTTGCTAATTGACAAAAATAAAACCAATGCTAATTGAATTAATTGGAAACAGCAGATGTTGCACAAGAAAATGTTACTTGGTTTATAAAACTGAGTCATGAGTAGATCCAAAGGCAAATAATAAAATCCATTCATTTTTTTTGCTTTTTACTTTGTCTTTCTACTTTGTTTAAAAAATAACCGTCCATTGGAGAATAATTTGCATTCCACAAAATTCATCTTGCTAAAGTACACTGTACAATTTCTTCTTTTGCTGTTTTGTTTTGTTTTAAGGACAGGGTTTCTCTGTGTAACCCTGGCTGTCCTGGAACTCACTCTGTAGGCTAGGCTGGCTTCTAACTCACAGAGTCCACCTGCCTCTGCCTCTAGAGTGCTGGGAGAAAAGGCATGTGCCACTACCACCTGGCAAAATGTACATTTTCTTGTTTTTACCATATTCATAGACTTGTACCACTGCTAAAGCCATCTAATTTTAGGCCATTTTTTTTTTCTTTCCTCAAAAATCCTACCTATTAGGCCTGGGAAACAACTCTGCAGGTTTGCCTGCTGACCCCGGAAGCCTGAGGGCTCAAGTGAGATCTCCAGAGCCCATGAAAAAGTCAGATACTGTGCCTGGTCTATATTACCAGCACTCCTGTGCTGAGACGGGAGCAGGGACAGGAGAGTCACCTGGGAAGTCAGGGGTCAGCCAGCCTGGCTTGCACAGCAGCCAAAGAGAAACTCCGCCTCAATAAGAGGAAACTGAGAAGTAACTCCTAAAATAGGTCCTGTGACCTCCACACAGAGCGGCACAGGTGCGCCCTCCCCACAACTAACAAGTAGTCATTTAAACTCTACCAATCAGCGGCAAACACCTCTCCCCCGCTGCCCTTCCTCCCAGCCTTTCTTGCTGTCTGCACATTGATGTGTTCTGGACATTCACTCACAGGGAATCCCACCTGTGGCCTTCTGTGCCAGGCTGGGCAGCTCATTTTGCAGTATTTTCAAGGCTCATCCATTTCATCTTATCTTGTTAGAACTTCTGCTGCTAATAATATTTCATCGTGTGTCTCTATCATGTTTGTTTACCCATCCACCAGCTAATGGATATTGGGATATTATAATATCCCAATATTGGATATTGGATATCTTGATTGTTAGTGGTGTCCTAGACAGTTATATCAAAACATCAAGTTGTGTGGTTTAAGTATTATAGTTTGCTGGGTGGTGGTGGTGTATGCCTTTAATCCCAGCATTTGGGAGGCAGAGGCAGGTGAATCTCTGTGAGTTTGAGGCCAGCATGGTCTACAAAGTGAGTTCCAGGACAGCCAGGGCTGTTATACAAAGAAACCCTGTCTTGAAAAAAGCAACCAAAAAAAAAAAGTATTATAGTTTAATCAATGTCAAGTATATCGCAAAATTTGTAAAAATTATTTCATATAAGTTTAAAATGTTTCTTAAGAGTATTGTCTTCCACATTTAGGCTGGTTTGGATTTTCATGCTACATTTTGGCATATTTTATTAACAATGTCTTATTTCATTTTTAACATATACTTATTAGTATATGCTGAAACTTGATCTGAAATATCCACCAAAGACCCATGTATTCAAGGCTAGTTGCTTGGCCAGTGGTGCTTACAGGGGGATGGTGGAATCTTGGAGAAGTGGGGCCTGGTGGAGGAAGTTAGGCCACTGGGACACACCTTAGAAGGGGTTATGGAACAATGGTGCCTTCCTCTTTCTCCTGTTGCTTACTGGCTACCAGAGGTGAGCAGCTCATTCCCCCACATGCTTCCTGCGGTTGTCTTTACACATGGCTCAAGCTAATGGAGCCAGTCTACTACAGACCGAAACCTCTGACACTGTGAACCAAACTTAATCTTCTCTCTTTTTAATCTTTATTTTTGAGAATTTCAAACAGGTATTAGATATGTATTAATAGTAATTAGATATGTACAATATTTAATCAAACATTAATTAAGTGTGATCAAGTATACCCTCCATTTGCCTCTTCTAATATCTGCCATGCCCCTCACTAGCCCCTCTCACTTGATTTTCTTAAGTAACCCACTAAATCTAGTTAATGCTGCTGATACGTGCTGGCTACATAGAACCATCTGTTCTCCAGACATGAATTCTCCAATTGCCACTTCCTCAAAAAAGAAATCTTTTCTCTGGACAAGTTGACTTTCTCAAGGGGCTGGAGCGTTGGTTCAGCAGTTAAGAGCACTGGCTGCTCTTGCAAAGAACTCGGGCTTGATTCCCAGCACCTACACAGTGGCTCACAGCCACCTG